TTTTGTAATAATACTATTTTAGTATTATGAGTATGATGATGTGGATTATATGTATTTGAGATGTGAGGGTTGTTACAAAATTGCAGAAAAGTGAAGTGCAATAAAAAAATAAAATACTATAAAAGGGAAAGACATAAAGTAAAAGGAAGTACTTGCAAAGAAAAAATTAAGAAAATTTGCACTACAAGTCAAGGACTTCACTTTTCTACAGTTTATTTACAGTATTTTAATTTACAGTCTTTTACTTAACCGGTTACATAACCGGTTCCGGTCATAACCGGTTTCGGTCCTTAAAAAAGGTTAAAATCCATAACCGGTTCATAACCGGCGGTCCACAACCGGTCCATACCGGTCCCGGTTACGGGCCGGCCCGGGCCCATTTGGCCATCTCTAGTTAAAAGTACCCCCAAAAAAAAAATTTATCCAAAAAGTTAGCTTAAAGCCTAAGCTTTAAATCAGTAGTCATCTTTTCCAACCCAAGGTTTCGACCCAAAACAAAAGGTGTGACCCACTGCTTGTTCTTATAGGACTTCTGTAGTAGCACTCCAGCAAAATACTCTTGTAGGACTGCTACATGATTGGCCAGAAACCTCAAAAATCTGCATAATTAACAAGATAATATAAGATTATGATATAATACTACTAATGTACATAAAACTAAGGAATTACGTGAATTAGTTTGAAAGGATTCAAAATTTAGACACTAATAGGCAAATAAAATAAAGGAAAATGATGTAATATGGTTAATAAATTAAGATTTGTCATCGATATGGTTTTTTTTTCTTTTAACCATTATTTACGATAAATGATAAAAAGAATATGTGTAATATTCATCATTAATATTGCATGTTCACATGTATACAACAAACTTTTTACTATTCATACATTAGTATGGTATCTATCATGAATATACAGCTTACTATAACATTCATCATGAATAGTTATGTATTTTCAAGTGTATTCAATAAATCTTCAATATTCATACATCACTATGACATTCATCATTTTATTATACATTTTCGCTATAAAGTTTATCATGAATATATATACTATTCGTCATGAATGTTTATATATATTCACATGTATACAACTTTTTAATATTCATATATTAGTATGATATTAATCATAAATATACATATTATTCATCATTAATATTTATATATGATCACGTGCATACAACAACTCTCTAGTATTCATA